CCTTTTTTGTGTTGTTTACAAGATTCAAAAAAGTGTTTTTCATGTATTTGTTGCAGTCCTTTTCTTTTGCTGTTCTTATTCATTTAAGTCTGAGGAAAACAAGCCTAGCAGAAAAACATCAACAACACTAAAAGCACTTGTGAAAAGCAAAAGAGAAGCAGAATAAAAAAAAGACAAACTAAAGACAAAAACATTGTGTGACTATGATTGTAAACAATAACCAATATGAAATATTGTAATTCTAAAATCAGGAGTGTACATTGCATTTAAATTTAACACTTTTTACCTGTAGCTCACCATACACATTACACTTTGACTGTACGACTGTTGTACTGCTTCCTTTAGATTTACAACAACTATGCAATATATTAACCAATTTAAATTATCCAATGAATTGGTACCCAAACCGGCAGCATAGTTGTTGGCATAGTCAGATTGTAAAGTGAGGTGAGCTTCAAAGAGACTCGGTCCCCAGACCATTGCCAACATTTCCCCAAAGGATTATGTGCATTTAATATATTTCATGCATGTTATTTACCTGTAAAAGCCTCCTTTGGGTAGACATCCAAAAGCTCTGAAACTGCTGAAGGGTGCCACCTGTAACATATTGCACTTTAAACCTCACCCTGACCAGATTTTCCAGCTCATGGGACAAAAATCTAAGCACCAGCAGACTGAGAATGAGTGTCACTGGGACAGGGTAACTCCATAGTTACCCTTTTTACACACATGGACTGTAGCTCGCAGTATCTGCTGTAACAATTCTGAACATAAAAAAATGTCTGTGATGCTTGCTTCCATACCCAGATAGGAATGTAGCAGAGTTTAAAATATTATAGCTTTCTTCACACAGGCAATACATTCTTTTATTTACTGTTTGAGTACTAGGGATTCTGCTAGACAATTTTAAAATATTGTTTTAAAAAAATGGTGCAAGAAATGTATTTTAAAAAGATGTTAACAAATAGACAATAAGCAGCAGCAAAATATATGTGGTTAAACGTGAAAAAAAATACTTAACAAAGTTTGGCTGGCCTTTTGTTTAGTTCAGAGTCCACTTGGATTCAGAGTCCAATCTGACAAAGTAAGTCGTAAATAACTTAGCATTCCTTCTTAGTTGCACGGGAAAGTAAAAGCTACTCAGCTGCAGATGCAGCCATATTTTGTGGTCCCTGAAGATGGTGTTTACAGAAATAACACAACCAATCAAAGGGTTGGAGGGGTGTGCTGAAGTGTTTTATGATGATATAGCGAACACTCTCATAATGCCAATTTTGTTAGCTATATCTATATTTTCAGATGAAAAGGTTTTACCATCCAACAATCAACATATTATTAAACAGAATGAAATTATGATTCAGTAGTGACCAAATAATAAATCCTATGCATATTTTGCTTAGGTGTGTTCAAAGGCTACCTGATTACCCATCACTGTGTTTTATGAATATAATTTTATCATAGCAGGAATTATGGATTATGGATGGAGCTGGGAGCATGAGAAGTACTAAAGTTCATTCTTTGTTCAAATAAAACCAGACCTACAGATGTGTGTTTTGTTGCTAGACATGTTTTACGACAGGTTAGTTATATATGGCTGCATTAGGACACTTTCCAGACTCTCCAGGGTCTCTGCTTTCCATCAAACTTGGAGCTGTTTTCTGTCAATAGTGCTGTAAACTGGAATGTTTTCTTTTATATCCCATGAATGATTAGCACAGACATAAGATTTTAATCTGCTGTTGATGGCTTGCACATTTTGGAGAAATGAGGGTTGTACTGTGTTCAGTACAATATCCCCATTCTCCCCACTCAGTTTAGGGGTTGTCAGACTTCATTATTGTCCAACCATATCGTGGATGTGATGTCAGCAGCCCCAGCAGACTCAAGTGACACTATATAGTATTCCCCTTTGCTCCTTCCCACAACTACATACATTTTTTATGGAGGTAAGGAGAGGGGTGCAGATATGCTGGGTCTGCAAGGAGAGTAGACTCTCCCAGGAGAAGAGAGGGCTATGAAGTGCAATCATGGAGGAAGCTGTTCTAAGGAATCGACTCAAAAAAATGTTATGACAGGGTTTTAATGGACCGAGGCAGAGACTTCCATTTCATGTAACTCATAAGCTTTAGTGTCAGTGCAAAGACAAGGAGGAAGTACTCATTTGCTCTGTAGTAACATGCTCATTATTTTATATTGTAACATGCTCATTATTTTATATTATTTAAATGGACTTAGGTAATGACATTCCATATTGTATGGGTTCCTTTTTATTTGCATATGTAGCTTACAGGTGATTCATTTTGTTTTTGAGGGGAGGCTTATGGGGACAAGATGTGGGTGAAACTATGCTTCATAGCCTGTTTATTAGGATCCAGTGCCTTGAAGCTCTTTCCCTTATGTCCTCCTAATTACTGATGATCTGGTCATACCTGTTACAATAAAGTGTCAGGTGTTATATTTTCTAGAGTTTACCCTCCTACACTGAGACTTGTGCAAGTGATAAAAGGATAAAATAAAATACTGCACTGTCAGAATATGTTATTCATATTTTAAATGTAATAGTCTTCATTTTGTTTTACTCTAATAAGTGTAAGAGATTGCATTGGCTATTTGGGATTTCTTTGTGGCAGAAGTGTTTGTAGCATCTGTGACTAATAAAGAAAAAAAGCTTGAATTTTTTTGTTTAAGAAAATGCCCAAATAATTAGGATGCAGAATGGCAGCTAAACAGTTAAAAAAGTTGGCAAGTGTCTGTGTAAGCACTTGCAATGATTCATTGTCACAATCATACACTTGTGCAGGAAATTGGGCCTTGAAAATTTCACAAAGCTTTTCAGAACACAGGCTAGATCCCTCCATTAAATTAAAAATGTGTTTCTGTTCACCTCGTTCTTATTTTGTTGTTCTGCTATTTTTAATGCTCCAGGCATTGTATTTTCTAATGTAATGTTACAAAGATGTTTGTGAGCAATTTTTTTTACCTAAGCAGATAGGATTTGATTACTTCAGAGACTGATAAGGGCCATTGTGGTAATCTTTTGTGGCACAAAAATGTTTACATCCACTTTATATTGTGTGGTCAACATTATACTGTTATAAAAACCAACTCTCAAAGTGATATTAAACCTTTGTGGGTTTTTTTTTTTAATTCTCCACAGGAGATCTATTTGTACTTGTGTAGTTTTTTGGGGGTTTTTTTTTTTCTTCAATATTGCCCATTTCATTTATTCCTTTGCTGAGTCTACTGTCACATCTAATGTAGGTTCCAAGAACCTGCATTAGATGTCAGGACGCCGAGGGACATTGCATCAGCTGGAGTGGAGAGAAGAGGACAGCGCTAATCGTCCGGTGAGCAGGGATCAGGTAAGTAAAAGTGCTTTACTCCAGTCCCCTAGTCATAAACAAGCAGTGGGGGTTAGCCCCACTGCAAGGGTACTTTTTGGTTTGCCCAAAGATGGGTTTTACAATTTAATGCGTACAGCTTTGCCATTTTTTTAAAATGATGCTAATTCACATCTGTGTGGCCAAATAAGTGTAGGTCTGTCTTTCAGTGAATTGACTCATGGTATGCAATGTATTTTATTGCATGGTAACCAGCCCCTACTATAGCACGTTGTGTTCTTTAGATTTGCACGCTATTAACACTACCCTAAGCAGTTGTGCTCATTATCATTTGAAATCCCACTTATATTTATTAAAGTGCAGGGCGCTATTTAAAATACCTAAATTAAAAGTGTACAATGAAAACCTGTAATAAATCCTGTGCACCCAAAGATGTTTAAAATCTAAAAATGTGGTGCTTAAAATTGCAAACATAAAATACATATAACAATTGCATGTAAATAAATATGAACAAAGGAATAAATAATAACACAAGCTATCCAAATACTGTGCATCAATTTGTGCAAATGCCTGGTATTAGTCCATAAACAAGTTCATATTCTCCTTTTAGATATTCCAATTACTCCAACTCATTCCCAAGCTTCAATTGTGCTCAGAGATTAAAGTGACAATAGTGCAAATCACTGAATATTTTCCCCTTGGGAATACACACTCACCTATCATGCACTTAAAAAGAAGTATTGTCAAACTGCGCTTTCAATGATACTCCCCCACCCCCCGATTGATTATGATTTAAATCGAGTTGTTTTAAATCAAGCCTTTTTACTAGTGTTTTAATCATGATTTAAATTGTGATTTAAAACGACGTGATTTAAATCAAATCCACCCTGCTCAGGACTCATTAAAATACATAAAACGTGCAGCAAGGTGCATTAAAACAAATGTTGAAATGGCGAGAAAATGCCTAACAGGCACACAGAATGGTGTAAACCTAGTCTAGAAGGTATTTTCTTCCAGAGGCAGTAGGGGCAGGCACACTTCAGTATTATCAGAAAGTGAAAAAAAGCTTTGCTTGTCAGAATTGCCCAGTGTTAGTACAAACCAGGAGATACTGAAAGCAGCTACACCTCTAGGAGCCCATGCTTTATTTGTCAACAGCTTTTGATTTCTTAAAGTGACAGAGTCTCTTTACACAACGGTTATCAGCATTTGAGCTGAACGTGCCATGGGTGCAACTGTTGTTCACCTCTATTATTTTTGAATGACAAAGAACAGTCATATTTGAACCAACAATTCTACTTAGTCTTATAGTTAAATATTCATTTTATTGGTAGAAAGTCACAAATATAAGTTTGAAACAGGACACCTGAATTTTAAAAAAGTTGAAGATATACAGTATCATAGGGGGGTCTAATAGAGGGAATTAGGCACAGCAAAAAAAGCCATAATAATGTGTGAGCTGCAGCAAACAATCACAATATCCTATTTCTTCAGTTAAGCAGTGCCTAAACAGTCATTTGCTATTTGATTGCTGTGTGTTAATGTATTCTGTAAATTGTGCTTTCTGAAATCAAAGCATGGCTCTATTCTGACATCCAAATAATTATGAAACACATTTTCTATCTTACAGTTTAATTTCAGACATTTATTTTTTCACAGAACCCACATACATCACTATGGCACCACCAGCATGTGATCTGTTCACAAACTGCACACTGACCGACAGAGATTGCAGTTATGGATTCCGGCTAGATCAGAATGGATGCCGCACATGTCAGTGCAAAACAAGTAAGTTACCTGTTGTAGTCTCATCTTAGCTTTACTCTATTTGTATGGTTTTTTCAAACACGCATCTTGTTTTTTTAAGCTAAATAAGTACTACATTAAAAATACACTTTGCCTTAAAGCACGCCTGTATAGCAAAGCCTGTGTTCAAGTTCTAAAAATTCCATGCCCCTTAGTTACAAAGTATGTGCTATATATTTTACAGAGTTAACCTTTATGTCTAATTAGTTGTGGGGACTTGGGTGTTGAAGAAGTCATCACCTTGTATACCTGACTGTATGTTAATCAGTGAATTGTAGATATAATAATAAAATAAGTAATAACATTTACAGTTATTGTTAGGGATGCACCGATACTTTTTGAGTACCAATGCCGATACTTGGCATTTTCATGAGAACTACCAGGGTTGCAGCTGGGACCTCGCTCTGGTGCTCCACCACTGTTCTGAAATCATTAGTCGATATTATTTTAGAAAAACTGTCACAAGAAAATAAACAAACATGTATCAGTACTTGTACTTGCAAAATTGGTATCGGTGCATCCTTTTATTTATAAAAACAAAATCATACATTAAAACAGAGATGTACAAATCCCATGAACTCCTGTGTGCTCCTTACAAATGACAGCTGCCTCCTAACTTTTACATTTTTCTCTAGTCTGGTCTTGGAGCTCGAATAGTATCTGTACTTGTACCAACTGCTCCAGATTTTGTCTGCTCCAGTTCTGATAAATTCCTCCCTCTGAGTCAAACCTGAAAATGGAGCAAAATAATAATGTCCAGAAAAGATATGTAGTGACAACTGTAGTGTTCCCTTACATTGTTGTTCAGTGCAAAAACACACTCTTTAAGTGTATTTCCACTTTTGCAGTCAAATTTGAGAAAACCCCCTCTATATGTTCGTTATGTGTTCCTGTTCAAACAGCATACTGCAAAGTAATTTTTAAAAACCTTTTAGATATTTTGGTAAATCAGGCAAGATGTCTGATTCCAGGTTTTTCTTAGCTCTTTCACAGTGGTCTGGAAAGGCTTGGGACTGAAATTTGAGGAAATTTGAGGATTGTGTTTATCTAATAAGCTTCAATTAACATTCAATGAACAAGCCACCTTAGATCCTTCACCCGTCACAGACCTCCTAACATTTCAAAGACATAGAAACAAGAAATTCTAACCCTTAAAGCCCTAACCCGAATAAAAGCAATTTAAACAATTTGACTGCAAAAGTGAAAATACACTTTACATTGGTGGCCAATGTAGTGCCCTTACATGTATGGTCCATGGAAAAACTCTCCTTCACCCTGGTGGTCACATGCCCATGCTGGCAAATGAGCAGGCTTCTTACTTGCAGGACCTGATCCCTGGCTCAGAAGTGCTTCTCATTGGTCAGCATAGTCCTGTGACCATGCTGCCCAATAAGCGCTCGCCACTGAAAAACTGCCTTTAGTAAATTAGTAAATAGTTTCTAAAAGGACCTATTACTACCAATGTGTTGTATTGTGCTATGAAATTGTCCTGCATGCTGCATTTTGAATGTATTACCCTAGATTATGCCTCTGAAAACTCCTCTGAATGACATCCAGCCAAAAGCAATGCAGTGCATGCAAAAACTTATAACAGCACATATTTATTGTTGCATGCATTGCTGTGCATGTTATGGTGAGAATTAGCCACTGGCCCACTCTTCTTTTGACTTATTTAGATTACAGGCATTTATTAGGCCAGAAAGCCCTGACAATTCAGTGCAACCCTGTGAAATCTCAATGCAGCTGATTTTGTACAATTTAAACTTAATAATAGAAAATGGTGGGGCTGCATCTATGGTTTATTTCCATAATCGATTGGTTGGCCAATAATTTTTTCGATTAATCGGTTAAAGGAAAAAAAATTGAATACCATCTCTGGAGAGAGTCCAGAGAAGGGCAACAAAACGAATTAAAGGGATGGAGGACCAAAGCTTTGAGACAAGGCTACTAAACCTAAACATGTTCACGATGGAAGTGAAGAGATTAAGTGGGACATGATTTGGATGTACAAGATGTTCAATGGGGATAGCAGCATCAGCCATAAACCTTTTTCTATAAACACCATAACAAGGACTAGAGGCCACCACCTAAAACTGGTGGAGAAAAGATTTAACCACAAGGGGCGTAGGGGCTTCTTCTGAGAGCGGTTAGGGTCTGGAAATACAGGGGTACAGGTACTCTTAAAAACATGAACACACAGGGACTCGTACACACGTATAAACATGCAGAATCACATACATACACGCAATAGGTTGAACTTGATGGACCTGTATCTTTATTCAACCTCAAATATTATGTAACTATTTAACATGAAATACACAATTTCAGTGTCACAAACAAAGTTTACTTCAGAATAAAACGGCTTGCAATTTTTTTTGCAATAGCACGGTACTGGGATGGCAATCACACTGGCAATTACACTGCGGGAGGAGCGTCCAGGGTGCCATTGAAATAAATGGCACCACAACACACATCCTTCAGCAGAATTTGTCAGGCCGAAACCAAAAATTACTTTTCTCACCTTTTTAATATTTTTTTTGTAATACTTGTATGCATTATATGAGACATTTAAATTAGATTTATTATTGGATTTAAAATAATATGAATTGTAAAACTCCAATATAATAAAATAGCCAAACATGTATTTAAAATAAACAAAAGTCTGGTCATCAGTTTAGAGTTAGCCATGAATATTGGCCAGAAAATTATTGCTCTCACTCTGGGGCATGCAGCGATATCGCAATCATCGTTTTCATGCGTAACTTATGTTCCTGTTAGTATGCATGGGTTTGTGGGGTCGGGGGACTTTAAACTTTTGGGGGGTATTTTTAATTTGATTTAATTTTTGTAAAACTTCATTGCTATCACATGGGGCGGCTTACAAGCCCCTTATGTGATAGCACATTTGAGATGACAGGTTCTCTTTAAGGTGACAGGGGGTCTATTAGACCCAGAGTGTCACCTTTCCACTTCACTGAGGCAGCTGAATGTAAATGTTGCATGCAGTGGATAGGAGCAATAGCCAGCCTCCTATTGGCTATTTTAAATTACAATAGCCGATAGCAGCCTGGCTATTGCACCCACCCGCTGACTTTTGTCAATCAGCAGAGGAGGGAAAGTTCTCCTTCAGGTCCTCCTCTGCTGATTGACAGCAGGCAGTGGGCGGGTGCAATAGCCAAGCTGCTATTGCAATTTAAAATATCCAATAGCAGACTGGCTATTGTTTCCAGCCGCTGATGGGAGACTTGACATTGGTGTTCTATCAATCCCTCAGACTCAAGTCAGAGGGATTGATAGAACACCGGCAGAAGCGGGGGTATGGGGGGAAGAGAAAAAAACGGGGCGGGCAGAGGAAGATAAATGGGGCGGACAGAGGAGGAGGATTGGGGCGGGCAGCAGAAGAAAGAGATAGTAGTGGAGGTACGAGGTGGAGGGGGTCAGCGGGGTAATGCAGAGTCACTGCATTCTCTTCTCTCCACTGGTGCCGGCTGCGGTGGTCTGTGTCTCCTCTGCCGATACAGGCGGGGAGTGCAACGGGGACTGAAAGGGACACAGACCGCTGCAGCCAGCACCAGCAGGGAGGAGAGCAGAAGGGCGGCAGGGGATTCAACTAATCGAAAGTCAACTAATCAATAATGAGAATTGTTGACAATGATTCTCATTATCGATTATAATCGATTTTATTGATTAGTTGTTTCAGCCCTAGAAAATGGTGCCCAGCAAGGGCTTTCTGTTATGTCGCAGGAAAAAATTATAAAAGAAGTTTCATATTATAGAGCAGTAGAGTAGAAAATTCATTAGGAAACAACATGTTTTCAAAAACTGAACCAAAATATATATACGTTTACCAAGAACGCTAGTTCTAACTTTTAAAATCAAAATCAAATTTAAAACTTACATTTCTTTGAAGAATGTTTGTTGTATAAGTAAAGGGTTTTTAATTTGTAGTTATTTTTAGTACCAAAGAACATTTTTATTGTGTTGTCAATATCTGTTCCTTTTGTTTTGCTGTTTGTTTTGAATAGGGACAACGTGCCATGCAGGGTAACCGTGGCATTGCTGTTCCAGAATCTCATAAAGCTCTGAGCTTCTGGCAGAAATGTGCTCTGCTCTCTTTGAAGCCATTTATAAAAGGAGTTTGTTTGCTGACTGAGAAAGAGCCACTTTGTATTATCTGTAAAATATCAAGAATTAGAACAAAATTGGTATAGAGCATATACATGGAAGTAAGAAATGTGTCAGACACAGCGTGAGACTGCAAAGAAAAGGTGCACAGAAGCCTTATTACATATGCATCCTAAGCAGCTTGTTCCATGTCAGTACTGACTGGCACCTGCATCATTATCAATGGCCTCTTTGTCAAATTTGAAGTTAACTGTTTAACAAGAAAGCAGTTTTGCATTTGTAAACAGCAAGAACCAATAATGTTGCCAGATCTTGGCACATGGTTCCAGTGTGTTGGGTCTCCTGGCAGTTGCCTTAGGTGTAGGACTTGCAACTGCCAAAATTGCCATTGAAGCTTTTGACTGTGGACATGTTTGTTGTGTTCTGCTACTTACCTATTATAATTTGTTGTTTTATGTTACTTATGTGTGAGATTGCTCAACTTAAATGAACCTTTACCGCCTTTGACTGGCACTATCACATGAGGGTTCACAAGCGGTACAACTCAGATCTCTGTTTGTTATATCATAAGGATCCATCAATGCCACATATCTCCCAGCTTATCTTTCACTCTGTTAGTTTATTAATCTGCATTAAATCAACTTCTGAGTGCTTGTCTACAGAGTTTCAGGAAAGCTTGTCAGAGGACTATTGTCACCAAGAAAAAAAAGTAGGGGAAATCCAAAATTTTGGATTAAGATGGGAATTTCTATCACATCAGGAGATTTTCTCTTACTTTCTGGTGTGTCTCTGGGACGTAATGGGGATATCTCCTCAATGGTATATAGACAGCAAAAAAAATGGGCAGGGCTTTTAAC